ACCTCCCTTTCTTCATGTGTTCAATACTTTTTCCCTGTGCCATTCCACATTATTACAAATAACTTCATTTCTGGACAATTATGGTTTGATTTCTTTGTATGTATGGATCACTTGGGTTGTTATCGACATCTGGCGAAAATTTCATGTCATTAGCACCTCTAGTAATATATTTACTGAGAAAAATGGTGACGTGTTCAATACTTATTTTACTCACTGTATGTACCGTTTATGTTGTTTCCCCTTCCCCATCTTCCAATTTTTAAGTGTTTTAAGTGTTCTTGCACTCTCAGGCCAACACTGTAAGTAAGAAACGGTTCTTACTGTTTTGCCTGTTGAAATAAAGATAAAAAAAAAAGAAAAAAAAAAGATTATATGAACGTGAAATAAAAATCCATTTGATTTATTGAGCTATTAAATAATCAAATTGTTTCTTTAACATATTTATCTACCATTCTCAGACCAGTTGGGATGTTTACTGTAATAATAATCCAATGTTTGTTTTTATGTCAAAATAGAGTAAGTCCAAAAATTTTTTAAAACAAAACTACTGGACTTTTGTTCTGCAGTTTAAGACGTTTCGTTCCTCATCTGGGTAGCTTCAAGCTTTTTTAAACTGCATGAGGTGCTTCGTTGTGTAACAAAGATTCATGCACACACAGATAAACTCGTGCCCCTCACAGTGGAGAGTCATGAGGATCTTTGTTTGCCTGGATCACATTTGCCTTGGTCACATGCATGAATGTGTGAATTAGAGGAAAAACTGACTGGAAATCAGAGCTCTAATGTAACATTTTAAGACTCTTTAACAAGACAGCTCAATTCAGGACTTAGACACCTTCTGCAGTGGTGGGGGTGGGGGTCAAAGCTAACCTCAAGAGGGGGAGTAATGAAGCCAAAACGGTTGATGTGTGGAACTGTACCAGCCTTTAGAACCACCTTTCTTCTCTGTACAAAATATGAACATGTTGGTCCTCAGCAGAGTGTTCTTTATCCTTGAGATGTAAAACAACTGAGTCTGGTCCTGAAGATCTACTACGTTCCTGTGTTGAGCCATGGCTCTGTGGAGAGGCTGCTCCGATATAAAAAGGTATGACAAATTACTGCCCAGTCGCTTTAAATTGATTGTATTTTGATCTAAACTATCATATTTGACAAGTGAGTCTGTAAGATGAGGTGTGTGTTGTGCATGTACACAAAAGAAGGGCTAAAAAGAAGGTAATTTTCAAATTATCTGGCAGCACTGATCTGGGGCAGTCTGGAGCATGAGAAACAAGAGTCACATCCATTCAGCAGTGGTGGGCAGCGCTAATCCAAAAATTAGTTCCGCAATTTCTAAAGTGCTTATGAAATTATTTAGGTCGGCAACAACAAAAGCGCTTATGCCATAGAAAAAAATAGCGGAAGCTAATTTTAAAGCGCAAGTTCAATTTGACACTTACTAGTTGGCAACAATTCATGTACAATATATGCACAATACTGCCAACTAGCGCTGTATGAAATCTTTTACAACTTAAATCTACAACCACCGATTGCTGGGGATGTGATTTCCTGAAACAGACCTTTAGCTCCTGGTGTAAAAATTAAAAAGTTGTTGAGGATTGCTAGTTCGGCTGATTCTTTGTCTTTTTCTTTTCTTTGTTGTAGCTTTTTCATTAAACTGTATTAAAACTGTTTATTGGAAAACTGAAGCGAGCATTCTGGGTACATGACAGATTTGATTTGTGACGGGAAACAAAAGCATGGCATACAGGAAACTATCTTCCCTTCAAAACAAGAGCTTGGATTTTAAAGTTTTCCATGTAGTTGCTCCAGTTGACCACTAGATGTCTGTCTTCATCAGCATAACATCTTTAAATCATTTCTGAGTCTCTAACTCTGTTGGCCGATTGCTTTGACCAATTATGTCAAGTATTGAGCTCCAGCGTTTAAACTTTATTTTTTTAAAAGGAGCTCCGATTGTAAAGTAAAATAAATCAATACATACAATATTTTAGTATGGATTACAAACGTTAACTGTTTTTGCTATTGTCTTCCTGCTACGTAAGCAGACACAAAGCATTGTGGGAAATCAGAACCGTGACCCAAAGCTACAGTCAGCAAGGATGTATACCTTCCCAATAAGTGTGTTTATCTGGGAGGGGTGCTGTTGGATAGATCACGTGAGTTATGATTCATTGACAACCGTGGTACCCACCACTGCCCTTCAGGAACCTTTGTTTGGACTGAAGATGAGGACGGGTTGCTCCTGCAGGTTAAAAAGGCGAGTAGACAAAGATCTTTGTTCACGGTTATATCGCTGCTTGCTGCAGCTGTGGTTTCACACCTATGTGAGGGGGTTCCCCTAAACCCTCTACTCTGAAACCTGAATTCAGAAACCTTTGATTTCAGAGTGTTGTGGTTGTGTACATGACCAGCAGAACTGCAGGAGAAAAGCTACGGTTCCATTAAAAATCTGTGTCACGTACAGTTGTGGTCAAAAGTTTACATACACTTGTAAAAAAACATAATGTTATGGCTGTCTTGAGTTTTCAATAAGTTCTACAACTCTTATTTTTCTGTGATAGAGTGATCGGAACACATACATGTTTGTCACAAAAAACAGTCATAAAATTTGGTTCTTTCATAAATTTATTATGGGTCTGCTGAAAATGTCACCAAATCTGCTGGGTCAAAAATATACATACAGCAACATTAGTATTTGGTTACATGTCCCTTGGCCATTTTCACGGCAACTAGGTGCTTTTGGTAGCCATCCACAAGCTCCTGGCAAGCTTCAGGTCGAATGTTTGACCACTCTTCTTGACAGAATTGGTGCAGTTCAGCTAAATGTGATGGTTTTCTTGCATGAACCTGTTTCTTTAGCACTGTCCACATGTTCTCAATGGGGTTTAAGTCAGGACTTTGGGAAGGCCATTCTAAAACCTTAATTCTAGCCTGGTTTAGCCATTCCTTTACCACTTTTGATGTGTGTTTTGGGTCATTGTCTTGTTGGAACACCCAACTGCGCCCAAGACCCAACCTTCGGGCTGATGTTTTTTTTTCCTGCAGAATTTGGAGGTAATCCTCCTTCTTCATTATCCCATTTACTTTCTGCAAAGAACCAGTTCCACTGGCAGCAAAACATCCCCAGAGCATAATACTACCACCACCATGCTTGACAGTAGGCATGGTGTTCCTGGGATTAAAGGCCTCACCTTTTCTCCTCCAAACATATTGCTGGGTGTTGTGGCCAAACAGCTCAATTTTTGTTTCCTCTGACCAGAGAACTTTCCTCCAGAAGGTTTTAWCTTTGTCCATGTGATCAGCAGCAAACTTCAGCCGAGTCTTAAGGTGCCTTTTCTGGAGCAAGGGCTTCTTTCTTGCACGGCAGCCTCTCAGTCCATGGCGATGTAAAACACGCTTGACTGTGGAGACTGACACCTGTGTTCCATCAGCTTCCAAATCCTTGCAGACCTGCTTCTTGGTGATTCTTGGTTGACTCTTGACCATCCTGACCAATCTCCTCTCGGCAGCATGTGATAGCTTGCGTTTTCTTCCTGATCGTGGCAGTGACACAACTGTTCCATGCACTTTATACTTGCGTATAATTGTCTGCACAGTTGCTCTTGGGACCTGTAGCTGCTTTGAAATGGCTCCAAGTGACTTCCCTGACTTGTTCAAGTCAATAATTCGCTTTTTCAGATCCACACTGAGTTCCTTTGACTTTCCCATTGTAGCTTTTGTAGCTGACTCTAATCACTGGGTCAAATGAGCCCTATTTAAATGGGCTCATGAGAAGTCAACAGCTGTAGTCAATCAGAATCACTTACAAGAAGTGAAGAGGCCATGACATGAAGCTAATTTGATTGACACAACTCGCTACATCACCAAAATTGACAAATTTTGTTGCTGTATGTATATTTTTGACCCAGCAGATTTGGTGACATTTTCAGCAGACCCATAATAAATTTATGAAAGAACCAAATTTTATGACTGTTTTTTGTGACAAACATGTATGTGTTCCGATCACTCTATCACAGAAAAATAAGAGTTGTAGAACTTATTGAAAACTCAAGACAGCCATAACATTATGTTTTTTTACAAGTGTATGTAAACTTTTGACCACAACTGTAAATGAGGCCTTAACGAAAAGGACTTACTTTGATGACCGGATGTCCACCAGTTGATGCTTTGATGGATCCTCTGCTGCCCTCTGTCTCATAGTGTGCTCTGTGAAAGGACTTGGGCTGGACCTCCAGTTTTAGCTCAGTCTGGTTATACTGGTTAGGCAGAGGCCAGTCCAGAGGGGGTGGTGACGAGGGGCTGTGGTGAAGAAAACAGACCAGAAGTTGCTTTATTATTGTCTCTGCAATGTGAACAATGAAATTCATGCATCCATGTCTCAATCAGCAAAAGCTTCTAAATGCTAATCGCAAAATGTATAATGATTTTAATACAAATGATAATAATTTTATTATTATTTAATATTTTTTCAACACACCTGACTGAAATGAATGAGTGACTGACAGGCTTCTGCTAAACTTGATGACATTCTGACTGAATCAGGTGTGTAAAAGCAGGGAAACATCTAAAACCTGCAGGACAGTGGGTCAGGAGAAACAGGGAGGAAGACATCTGATAATGTCACAAACCTGAACAATGGTGGGTTTCCAGGTTTGGGCTTGTTCCAGCTGAAGTTGAATGGAACTGGGAGGAAGAGCTCAGCTAAGCCACCCTGTTCTCGTTTTTCCTCTCTACAGGGATCCAGGTAGGATTCAGGACTAGGGTCACCAGCCAAGAGGCCAAGATGACTTCCTGATGTTCTTCTGGTTTTGGAAGGGACATCCAGCTCTTGGCAACCAGGAATGAGGAGTGCTACAGAGGTATCAGCAGGACTTCCCAGCCAGTTTTCTTCCGTCACACTGCCCCGTGGAGACGTGCCTGGAGTGGGGCTGGGCGAGTGGTGAGGGGAGGGGGAGCGAGCACGACGGTCAGAGCTGGCGTGGCGTCTCTTCCCACAGGGAGAGGTCGGTCTGGATGATGGCCTGACAGACGAAACCAAGAGCTGGATTAATTTTTATTAACATTCATGAGAAACACTGCATTACTACAGCTACATAAATAATATTCCCTCAAACTGTTGTTGATATTAATGCATTTTATTTGTTTAAAGCTTTATCAATCAACTGCAGCAGGGAAGATATTGACTGCTTACAGGTGCACCACAGACAATGACTTCAAAAACTCTTAACTTCGGCTAATCTTTTCATAAATATGCTGACCAATGTTGTAATTACGATTATTAAGAGAAATTATTCATTGAGTTTGGAAACACTTTGCACAAATTGCTCTTCAACACTGATCTTTATTTACTGATTAACTTCCTGTTGAACTTCCACTTAAAATAATCATGAAGCATCTTAATCAGAAGGCAGGCAGACTAAGTTGAATAGTCCTGTCAAAGGTCATCTAAATAACAGGACTGCCACTCTGACTAAAATATGTCATTTAAGTCTAATGTGTGTATATATACAGTAAATATATATATATATAAAACTCATCAGTGGGCTGGACTAAGTCATCCATGGGCCAGAATAGCCCTGCTTTGCCTTACCATTAACTGCCCACAATTAGCCTGGTTAAAACCAGACCCTGTCCTTCACTTTGCTTCGTACAAGGGTCTGGACTTGATGCATAGAGAATCGTTTCTTGCAGGAGGCGTGGCCTCTGCTGAAGCATGTGTGTGTATGTCTCTGTGAAGGAGGCTAAGCTAAGAAGCTAACCGAAAATCGCGTGTGCTGTAAACAACCCTACTGAGAGGAGAAATATACCGAGCCAAACGAGACGACTGTAAATGAGAGCTGCTGCTTTGTCAGACAAATTTATTTTAATTTGGAAGCCTTATCAACACAGACTGGCTTCATTCACTTCCTCCACTGCCGTATGCTAAAATAACCTGCAGACACTAAAAGACACCTGCAGAACATCGACGTCATTCAAAACTCCTCCTTCTGTTTGCCGATTGGCCCAGGTAAAATAAACTACAAGCAGACACTGCGCAGAAAATTGACGTTCTTTTCTCTGATTGGCCCAGCTAAAAATCTGCCAGCGAAGTCCATCTCAATGGGAGAAGTCCCCAGACAAAGCAGTGAAGGGAAACTAGAATTGAGCGGAGCTGCGTAGGAAGACAAGGGCCAGGCTAGTCTACAATAGGCGTGTGTAGTAAAAGCATAATCTTTTTAATGTTTACCAAATCAATTCCTTCAGTGTTGGGCACAGTTCTGCTAACCCGCTAATAGCAAAACTAGCTTCTCATTTAGCAGATTAGCTTTTTTTGCTAAACCGCTCATGGACTGATTAGCTTCCACTCAATAAGTTCCATAATTTGAAATCGACTAAAAATTTCACAAGAGTAAAACTTCCTATTTTCATGCTATATCTATATTTAAAATTTTTTTTAAAGAAATGCTTTTATTCTGAAAGGACTCAACTGGAAATATCAAAGTATTGACAAGGTTATAACTCTGGTTTGGATTGGCTGAACTGCCACAAATGATCCCACCCACCTTCACCATCTTAGAGGTTAACGTTAGCTTCCTGTAGTTTTTTAAAAATTTGTTTAGCAGTTTATCGTTAGCAGAGCTAAGATTCTTGTTTAACGGATTAGTTGTTAGTGTAGCTAACGTTTTGGTTAGCCGTGCCTACTACTGAATTCCTAGAAAAATAAACTATGCTTCAACAATGAGCTGGGATAAAGCAGGGCTCTGATCACTGTTCTCTGGTTCATCACTCTGAGTTTAAACACAGAAACCAAGCGGACTCACCTGGAGTTGGGCCAGCAGTTCAGCCAGGTATCCTCTGTGATACTGGTGCGAGGGGAGTGGCTCGGTGACTGCCGGGGTGACTGATGTGGTGACAACACCGGGCTGAAAGCTACTGGATGCTGGTACTTCTGTTGCCATAGCTCCACCCCAAACGCACCACCTCCACATCCCGGTGAGCCCAGAGCGAGGAGGGCAGCGTCATGCAGCTCTCCGTCTACGTAATTGTTAACATGAGAGAAAGAGTCACAAGAAGAGAGGTCTGACACCCAGCTCCTGGACGACAGGCTGCTGCAGGGACTTGGGCTGAGTGCTGATTCTCGATATGAGGCGTCCAGAGGCAGGTAGAGCTGATCTCTGTTCCACGACGGTTCATAGTATGCGGCCTCTGCACCACCAGCTGCCGAAACATCCAGGTTACTGCCAGCATCCACATGAACGTTGTGACAAATGGAGGTAATCTGGATGCTGGGGCAGTCAAAGACTCTGGGACTGCCGTGGGGGCCACAGTAAGGCCCCTGAGACTGACTGCCAGCATGTCTGTAATCATTTGCAATCACTTGTAAACATGGAGAGGGACTCTGCAGCTCCTGGTTCAAGAGCTGCTCCAGTGAAACCTGTGTTGATGAGGAGGGCGTCTTTACATCCAGATCTGAAACTGTAGGGTAGGAGGAAAAAAGGTTTATTTTATAACATCAGGTTGACATCACCATATAACAACCATCCATAAAACACAAAGAGAACTATTCAAAATGCAGTTAATCACATCTTTAAAAGCTGAGCTCAGATTCTTTAGCCTCACCTAGGCCTGATTAAATAAAACCCACATGTTTAAGGACATTTTCCTGTGTATTTCTTGCCTTCAATGATTGGTCCTTCTCAATCATCCATTTGTTTTATCACAAGATATGTCATGATACAAATGTAACTTCTGTTGTCATTATTGTTTTTCAATTCAATTCAATTCAGTTTATTTATATAGTGCCAAGTCAGAACTTAAGTTGTCTCAGGGCACTGTAGATAAAAAGAACAATCCAAAGAAGAAACCAGCAGATTGTGTTGAATCACTTCATCACAGTCTCCCATCCTGAGCAAACGGTGGAGAGGAAAAACTCCCTGCTAATCAGGAAGAAACCTCCAGCAGAACCAGGCTTTTTTTATCTTATTGATTCTTCTGTTTGTTTTGCAATTCCATTGGCTAAAAACATGAGTCACTATTGTCTGTTGCCTACTGCTCTGTTTTTTTGTTTATTGACTTCATCTCTGGAGTTTGTATTTTCTGTTTTAACTATTGAGGTTTAGGGGGGAAAAACAACTTTGGACTAAGGTCACTTTGACAAACATCAGATATGTATTTGATTTAAGACAAAAGTGGAATGGGTCTGATATTAAAAAAAAAGATTGGTAATGTTTACAAAAATTTTTGATGTGAGTCATGTGGGTAAAAAAAGACCAGTTTTGCCCACTTTAGCCTGCAGTACAAGTGTAGCCTTAAACTTGCCTCTATGAGATGAATTTATAGTAGTAACAAGTAAATTTGCAGTGAATTTATGGTAGACTCGGAGTAAAGAAAAGTACAATGATTTCACAGTGAATTTGTAGTGAATTTTCAGCTAATTTAATTAATAAATTTACAGTTAATAATTTGAGTAAATTTAAAGTTAATTAACAGCCCTTACCATTAAATACACATTGGACTGTCAGTAAATTTATAGTGAATTTAAAAGAATCAACAGTAAATTTTCAATGACTTCACAGTGAATTTGTAGAGAATTTTCAGCCAATTTTAAGCAAACAGTGAATTTAAAGTAGATTTATTGTTAACGTCCCCTTCAGTGTCAACTCACAGTCAATTTTTAGTTAATTTACAATGAATCAACGTTAAAGTTGCAGTGTACTGGCAGTTTCTTTGCAGTGAATATAATTTCCAACACAAAATATTATAGTGAATTTACATTAAATTACAGAAAACATAGTGATTTCAGAGTGAATTTATAACAAATTTTCAAAGGTGTCACATTAAGTTCACAGAGGATTCAAAGTAACTTTACAGTAACATAAATTAATTTACAGTTACTGTATTTATTCATGAGTAATACTAAAATTTTAACCTTAAAATCATCCATAAAGTGTGTGTGTGTGTGTGTGTGTGGGGGGGGGGGGAGATATTATACATGGGTTATTGATGATTAGATTTTTTGTGCTTTGTAAGCTAAAAAAATGATGATTGTATTATACTCGAGATCGTATTATACATGAATAAATACAGTAACAAGGGTGAATTCATATTAGGTTTGCAGTTTACTGTAGTAAAAGTCTAGTAAATTTACAATTAATTAAATTTAAAAATGTTAAAATGTAATTTTAAAATAAATTCACAGTAAATTCAAAGAAAACTTAGTGATCTCATTTTACTGTAAATTTGCAATGGATTTAATATAAATTTTAAATGAATTGACATTAAATTAACAAAATCTACAGTCAAATAGTGTCATTTTTTGTGAAATCACAGTAAAGTAACAGCTAGTAGGCGATGATTGTACAGCAGCTTTATAGTAAATAGTGGATTCATAGTTATTTTTATAATAAGTTCTCAGTAAATTTACAGTTCAACAATAAGCAGACGCACACAGAACCTTACCAGCAACAAGTAACAGTAGACTGTATGACTTATGGTGGCTGATTGTCTGCAACAGTTCAGTCAGTTCATCCACACAGCTGCACACAATCCTGACTATAAATACAACTCAGTCTCACAAAACTGTGTATGCAAAATATGTGTGCTAGCTCTGACTGTGACCTGCCTTTGAGTAACTAATGCCACTTCTTCACAAGTCACCCTGAGTGTGCCGCGCAGAAACAAGACGACGCAACAGGTTCCTCCCCTTCAGGTCAGAAAGAAGGGGAGAAATGGCGGGAGAAGTTGACACCCTCCTGGGTGCTACAGAGCGGTTACAAAACCAGGAAGTAAAACCAGCTATTAGATATGCTGTCTGTCTGCACAGAGCTTAAAAACAAGCAGCTGGCAACCATGTGCACTCCATCTATCCACCAATCATTCATTTATTCCTCCACCTCAGTTCTTACATGATCTGAGGAAAATCTATTAACAGTTATTGAACTCCACATTTTAATTAAACCCGAGTCTAATATATATTTCACAAAAAAAAAAAAAAAGCCTGATGTGACATTATGTGTTTTGGAAACATCATCTAGAAATCGAGAGAGGCCCATTCTGCAGTTTGGGTCTTATCCAGGTTCACTTTGGGAAACTGGATTACTTTTACACCTGGAGATCTCAACAATGTAACTGATGCTGTTCATCCTGTCATAACCTTTAACCTCTTAACTAAGGACTGTAGAGTCTGAGAAAGAGCTCATTTCTCTAAGCATTGCATGGTCTGACCTTTTAGGGTGAATTTGTTGGGATGTCTGCTCTAGGAAAGATTGACGGCTGCATTATCAAACTGTAAATAATCTTTCACTCAGTAGGACGATGGACTCCAGGTGGTTTGGACATGACCTTTGACCCTTTGCAGACTGATGGGCTGCAAGAGTTGCTTCTCTGAGGTCAGTGCTGATGTCTCTCCATCTTGGCATTGTGTCAACACACATTTGCTACAAAACAGCAAAATCTCCTGCTTTTATAAAAGGTGTTCCCACTGATGATCAGCTCTTCAATTCATTGTATAAGAAGCTCTTAACATTTTGATTTTGGTGGGGTTTTATTTGTTGTAGGTTTCCCTGTTTGGTTTAATAAATAATGACATTTTGTAAGATCTTGTGTTTTTTAAACTAAGGTTGAAGTTACCAATATTTGGAACCTAATACACATTTTTTATTTCTATATGTGATATCTTTGAAATATTACAACAACAACTATTACTACTACTTATCTAGCTTTAGTACGTTTTTTGGTAAATAAATTGCTGAATACAGAATTAACATACCTTATTAGAAGTGTTGATATTGAATGAGAATAATAGTATTCTAAAATATGTTTAAATATCCACAGTTTATTTAATACGGATCTTCCTGCAAGTTATTTTTAAAGGCATTGGTGAATAAATTGAGCAACGATGTTTTGTTTTGTTGATGTTTTGTTTGTTTGTATTGTGTCTTTATTTTGAAGCTCACCCAAACTAACTTCCGGTACAACTTCCGCTAACCCGTTGAGCTTGAAGTTGTTTTTAACTCGTTAAAACGGTGCGTACTTGTTCTGTTTTCACCGTATTAATCGAATATGAGAATAAATTAAGCCCTTAAGCACAGCTGTCTGTACACATTGAATTTTTAAAGAGTCCAAATTAAAGGTGGCCGAACGAACTTACCTGTCTCACTCACTTCCATCAGACTAAAGCAGAACTCCGTGTAACCGAGGCGCCAACGCGAACACGACGACAAATTCACAGCTAAAAGTTGTTTCTCAGCAGCTCGGCGGCAAATAAATCCTTCTGTATTCGAGGAACTACACCCTGAAGCCCACTGTTGAGCCAAGTTCTCTACCGGGTCCGTAAAGCGACTTAACTCCGCTGCTGCTTCTGCTGCTGCGTTCAATGAACCTGGGAAAATACAAAGTAAAGTGACAGCTTGAGTTAAAGCGAATAAACATTTTGAGGTAAACTAAACTATTTTGTTTAATAATGAACATTAAACAATTAATAGCAGAACGTTAACATTAAAGGATTATTTCGTATAGTAGTGCGTAGACTGTCGTATGCAGAAAGAATTTATATAGATATAAAGTAAAAATGTCTACTGTTGCCTTTGATTCACTGTCAGCTGAAACAGCTGAAGTGTCATTAGAACCTGAGTGTTTTGGATTATTTTTGTCCTGCTGAGCTCTCTGAATTTTCAAAACTAACAGCAATATCCAAACTGTCAACATGTCTGCTAGATCCCATCCCAACCAGACTTCAAAGAGGTATCCCTCCTAATTAAAATCCCTGTTTTGGATCTGTGTAATTTGTCTCTAATATGGTTCTGTACCACAGAGCTTTAAAGTGCATGTGACATGAATATATTTCAAATACAGAAAGTCAAAGAAAATATCTATATTAAAGAAACTTGGTATAATGCACATGATTTTACCCATTTTGTAACATAACCAGCATATTTTCATAGCAGAAGTATTAACTCAAATTTAACAAAAGTAACTGATTATTTAAAACAGTTAAATAGACCTTTTAACATAATAGCAGTCTCTGAAACCTGGCTCAATGATGAAAATATAACTGACCATCATATGAACTATGAACTACAGCTATTATAAGAACAGAAGTAATAAAAGAGGTGGGGGAGTTGCGCTATTTGTTAATACTAATCTAAAACCAAAATTAAGGAAAAAATGTCAATAGCTGTTGATGGTGTAAAGGAAATAATCACTGTTGAGATATTAAATGAAAACTCTAAAAATGCAATAATTAGTTTGTCTACAGATCACCAGGTTGAAGTATAGACTTACAGTATTTACTGATAAAATCGTGGAGCTCTTTGAAAATAGTTGTAATAAAACAGTTTTTCTATGTGGGGATTTTAATACTGACCTGGGAAATCAAATTGACTCATTTAATAACATTACATTCATTAATACAATGTATAGCTTGAGCCTTTATCCTTTGGTAGTTAAACTGACCAGATTTACAATGCACAGTGCAACAGTGATCGACAACATTTTTACAAATATGAGAAATGAGGAGGTGTTGAGTGGATATTGTTAATAGATATAAGTGATCATATGCCAGTGTTTACTATTTGTAAAAAAATGGGAACAAACATAATGACCATTGTTGTGATGATCAGGTTCTACAGAGACATTTATAAGAAATAGATCGGTCGAGGCTATAAGTGCCTTAAGAGAAGACCTTAACAAACAAAAATGGGACGAAGTGTATAAGGATGATATTAATATTGCTTATGATTCATTTATGAAAATATTGGTTGGATTAWATGATAAGAACTGTAATCTAATTAAATTAGGAAATATCAGGAAAAATGCTGTAAACAAACCTTGGATGACAAACTGGATAACAAATGCTTTCAAGAAAAAAAATATTTATACATAATATTTTTGAAATTAAGGACTAAAGACTCAGAAGAGATATAAAAATGCAAGAGTAAGTTAGCATGGATTATAAGAAAACAGAAAAAAGAATATTATAGTAATTTGTTAGATAAAAAGAAAGACAATACAAAGGATATACGGGGAATAATTAACAAAGTTGTAAAGAAGGATAAATTTAAACCACAAATTCCAAATCATTTCATGAAGGACAATGAAGATATTTATGATAAAGATACTATAGTAAATGATTTCAACATTTTTTATTGTAAAAATCGGTCCTAATTTGGCTCAACAAATACTGAAATTTAAGGCCAAGAAATAACCGACAATGTCAACAGTATTTTTCTTCATGGAGTGGAGAAGAGTGAAATTCTGCAAGTTGTACAACAGTGTCAAAATAAGACCAGCTATGTTGACATGAATATGGTATTTATAAAGAATGTTATAGAATAAATTATTTGCCTCAAGAATGGACAAATTTATAAACAGATACAGCATATTATATAACTGTCAACATGGATTTCACTCTAATCATTCAACTACAACAGCAATAATAGAACTGGTAGAAGAAATTTCAAATGTAATAGACAAAAAGCAACACCTACTGAGCGTGTTTGTAGACTTACAAAAAGCCTTCGATACACTAGATTAGTAATTCCCAACCAGGGGTACGTGAGTATATTAAGGGGGTATGTGGAAAAGTTTCCCAGGTGTGTAAAAAAATAAACAAAAATAGGACTGAGATATGTAGGACCCTATGATTTCCACAATGCAGAAAATGTAAACGGAATCACGGAATTGACACAAAATGGAATCCTGTATAAAATTCGGAATCTCCCAGAATTTGCTCATTTTGGGTATTTGATGTATTTTGGATCCTTCACCTACCATTACCTGGTTTATTTATTTAATTTCTTACTCAATGTCAAGGCAACATATTTATCTTTATGTTTGAATTGGAAAAAAATGCCTGATAATTAAACATTCTAGGGGGTTAAATAATATATTTTTAATTAATATTCAGTTGTTGTACATTATGGTTTTGGAGAATCATCATTATGGTTGACAGGGGGGTACTAGTGGTATGACAAAATGGCTCAGGGGGTACACAAGTCTAAAAGGGTTGGGAACCACTGCACTAGATCACTCTATATTATTAGTAAAATTACACAAGTATGACATCAGAGGAGTAGCACATGAATGGATTACAAGTTAACTAAAAAATATGAGACAGTTTGTGGAAATTGTTGGTAGAAAGTCTGCTGTGAAGAATATTAGTTGTGGGGTACCACAGGGCTCGGTCCTTGGACCGATACTCTTTCTTCTGTATATTAACGACATTACTAGGATCTCTAAATTTCTTAAGTCAATTTTATTTGCAGATGATACTTTTTTTTTCTCGAGAAAATATCAGAAAGGTGTTAAAAGTGGTTGAAATTGAATTTATATTAAAAAATGGTTTAATGGTAATAAATTATCCCGAAATATTGATAAAACAAACTTTATGATATTTTGCAGCACTAACAAAAGTGTTGATGATTGCCTGTATGTTGAAGGATGTGAAATAAAAAAACCCAGAAGAAATTAAGTTTTTGGGAGTTCTGATTGATGAACATTTGTCATGGAAATCTTATATAAATTGTATAAAAGGTAAAATATCTAAAACAATTTCTGTGATAAATAGGGTAAAGGAAATGTTAAATAAAAAAGGGTTTGTATATTTTGTATAATTCACTGGTTGTACCATATATGACGTATTGTGTGGAACATAAATTCAATAATTCTCTTACAGAAAACAGCTGTTAGATTTATCATTGGAGCTGGATTCAGAGATCATACAAACCCAATGTTTATAGAGATGAATCTACTTGAAGGTCAATGATTTCATTGAGTTCAATATTTCAAAATTCATGTACAAAGCCCATTAAAGTATGTTATCTAACAATATCCAAAGCAGATTTATCAAAAGAGAAAGTATATATAATTTAAAAGGTGTTGAGACTTTTGAAAAACATAGATTCAGAACTGTAATAGAGTCAAGATGTATCTCGGGTGTTAGTTTGCGGAACGGTCTTGATAAATAAAACTGTCAAAATCTTTTTTTTTGTATTTAAAAAAACTTGAAAATTACTTTGATGAAGCGTTATAATATTGTCTAAAGCAGGGGTGCCCAACCTMTTTTAAACCAAGAGCTACTTCTGAAGTCAGCAGATTGCCGAGATCTACTCGTCCAGTCTCAGTATCAAAAAACATATTTTTCGTCTCCCTACTCCTCACTTCTTTAAAGTAAATAAAACAGAACGTAATGTGTTGCTAGTTTTATTTAATTTAAAGTATTGTCAAACAAAACTATCTACTTAACCATATATTTACCTACAAAAAAAGAAAAAAGAAAAGATAAAATCCTTACTTAACTCCTGACAGAGAAACAGAAAAGCGATGCTCGAACAAAAAGGATCAAGTTTTTTAACCTTCAATTCACTGT